AGTGTGATGTCTGACTGCCAGCTTTGGCCCAATCCCCTGGGGAGCGGGCCTAAGCCATCAGGTGGTCATCCCCCAAGGGGTCCCAGACTGCAAGAGGGCACAGGCCGGGCTGAGGGACCCCCCGAGTGCACAAATTTTTGTGCACCGGGCCTCCAGTGTATATATATAGATATAGATATAGATATAGATATAGATATAGATATAGAGAGAGTTTATTACCACCAAGCCAGCAATGCAAGAAATCTATTTTTAAAATTTTTTACAAAAATGAGGTCATGATGTACAAATTGTTTGTTAACCTGATTTTTGTGAACATTTATATATTGTGAGCATTTTTCAATGCCATTACATATTTTTTCTGTAAAATCTTGTGACTAGATAAATGAAATTCTATTGAGTAAATGTATCATGATTTATTAATTGGTCCCTTGTTGTTGGACATTTTTACTTTTTTCTAATTTTAAAAAAATATATTTTTTTATTGATTTCAGCGAGGAAGGGAGAGGGAGAGAGAGAAACATTAATGGTGAGAGAGCATCATTGATCAGCTGCCTCCTACATGCCTCCTACTGGGGATTGGGCCACAATCTGGTCATATGCCCTGACCTGAGTGGAACCCTTATCTCCTGGTTCATAGGTCATTGCTCAACCACTGAACCACACTGGCCAGGTGAGATCATAGCTTTAAATTAGCTCTACTTTCCTTAGCTAGAAGAATTTTATGTCATTTTTGTCCAGCTGGCATGATTCAGTGGTTGAGCATTGACCTATGAACCAGGAGGTCACGGTCAGGGCACATGCCTGGGTTGTGGGTTCAATCACCAGAGTGGGGCATGCAGGAGGAAGCCAATCAATGATTCTCTCTCATTATTGATGTGTCTATCTCTTTCTCCCTTCCTCTCTGAAATCAACAAAAATATATTTTAAAAAAATTTAATGTATTTTTTATTATATACTAGAGGCCTGATGCACAAAGATTCATGCAAGAATGGGCCTTCCTTCCCCTGGCTGCTGGCACCGCCTTCACTCCAGCCTGGAGACACCTTTCCACCTTCCCATGCTGCTCAGAGGCCCAGAGTGGCTGGGGTGGTGCTGAATGCCTGTGTTGTCGCCATGGCGAAGATGCAAGCATCTCGCCCAGCCACTCAGCGGCTCCACATGCAAATTAACCTGCCATCTTAGTTGGGTTAATTTGCATACTCCTGATTGGCTGGTGGGCATTGCAAAGGTATGGTCAATTTGCATATTTCTCCTTTATTAGTGTAGATAGTTTTAGAGGACAGAATGATTCATCTGTGGGAATCATAAGGAGATGTTTTTTAAGATTAATACTAAGAAGAATTTTCTAAAAATAAGAACTATTAAAGGTCAGCTTAGTGAATTAGTGGGATTTGAACTAATGATATTCTGTTTCTAAATGTTCTTCTCATAGGAGGGATTTCCATATTAATTGAGAGATTATAGTCTGACTCCTCAGGTCTCTTCCAGTTCTAAAATGTGATTCTGTGTGTCCACATGGTTAAAATGAAAGACATTTAGAAAATATGATTATGAGGATAACTTGTCTGAATGTTTTGAGAACTGTTATTCATGGAAGGTTTTTTAGGAACTCAATACTGATCATGTAAATCTAGAGATGATTGGGGGAAATATAGTACTCACAGGCAAAGACTTCGAGTTTTTCTGTGTGTTCAGGATTAAGAGGTAAAGTATAACAGAAAATGTTTCTTTACTGAGAATTTCCTAGGAATATGCCCCAATCAACCCCAATTTCATTTCCTATTGATCAGGTTTTCTGTTGTTGTTGTCTTTTTGTTTTGCTATTTTAATTTAGCTGAAGGAGAATCTAAGGAACACGGAGCGGAAACATCAAGAGACGCTTAGAAAATTGGAAAGCAGGTTTTTTAAAGAAAAGGTATGACATATTAAGGTTAACTTAAAATTCTTTTGTTTACCAGAACAACATAAATGTATTTAAATGCACTCTGAGATATCAACCTTCCATTTGGTACCTTGTTAGTTTTGTTTTGTTTTTTATCAAATCACAGTAGAGTAAAAAATAGGGAAAATGAAACCTATTTCAGATATCTCAATGTGTAGTCTTTTTTCCCTTCCCAGTTAGAGATTCTTGAAACCCCCAAGTGAGATTGTCATCTTACCAGTGCTTTCAGACATATCTCCCTCAGTTTGGTGTTTCCCTGGTGGAACTAAAGATGCATGTACCTCATTATATAGGGGAGGTGGGATTGGAGAGGTCACTCTGGTACACATGATGTACATTTTAATTATTATTACTCTTTGGGTCCAATCATAGTATGTAATCTCCAGGAGAGCAGGGACCCTATCGGTTTTGTTCACCACAGAATCTCCAGTGTTTAAAAAACCTGGTATACTATTATTGCTCCATAGGAATTTGTTGAATGAATGAATAATGACTCTCATCCCTCTCATAGATACTGACTCTCCCCATTTATTTAGCAGAAATTTCTCTCAGCTCTGCTTTGCCATACTAATGTGGAATTTTTTTCCTATTTATTTGTCATGTTGTTTCTTCAATGAGATTGGGAGGTACCCTAAGGTTCCTGTGTTCACATTATTCTTCTGACTCCTCTATCAATAGGTGGAGTTCACATCAGGTCATGTGGACAGGAGTATTTTGACATTATAAAATACTTAACTTTTTGATGTGTAAATTTGTTGTTAGAAATATAACTCTGTATTAAAACAGACTATTTTCTTCTTTAGCACCGACTAGAACAGGAAGCTGAAAAGAAGGTAATAATGCTGGCAGAGAGAGCCCATCATGAAGCTGTTGTGTAAGAGACTGCTGCCATTCTCCCCTTTTTAATAGCCTCTCTTACTTCTTTCAAGTTTGTTTTGTTCTTATCATGTTGTTTTCCTACTTCTCTCCTGGTTTGCTTTCTTTGAATTTTCTGGCTTATTTTCCCTCACTGATTCCATAAAGAAAACTTTGTGTTTCCACCCTCTTCTTCTCCACCATTCTTGTAGCAGCATCGTGTGCAGGTAAGAACCTGGGCTTTGAAATTAGACTGGTTCTCAACACATATACCAATGGACTGTGGTAGATTCCTTAATTTTTTGAAATTAAATTTCTTTATCTACAAAATGGAGTTAATACCTTAACCCCATTTTTTGGCCCAGTGGATAGAGTGTCGGCCTGTGACTGAAGGCTCCCAGGTTTGATCTGGTCAAGGGTACATGCCTGCATTTCAGGCTCGGTTCCCAGTAGGGGGCGTGCAGGAGGCAGCCAATCGATGATTCTCTCTCATCATTGATGTTTCTATCTCTCCCTCTCCCTTCCTCTCTGAAATCAGTAAAAATATGTTTTTTAAAAATGGGGTTAATAATAGCAACCTGTCAGAGTTGTCCTTATCATTAATTTGGGGGGATAAAGCAATAATTGTCCTTGTTTGGTAATATCTAAAACTTAGACCTCTGTTTTGAAATCTTGTGTCTCTCTATTTCAGGCAATTGAACAGTGCTGGAAGAGCTGTTTTTAAAGAGAATGTTTCTCTCCAGAAAGCTCTTGAGTACCACCTGAAGGAAGCTGATGCTCTACAAAAAGAATCTGCGAAGTTGCTAGAGTCCAGAACTTCCCTTTTATATCAAAAGGTTCCAATTCTCTTTTAGACTTTGCTTCCTATCTTTTTAAAAAAATATGTTCTTACTGATTTCAAAGAGAAGAAGGTAGAGGGAGAAATAGAAATATCAATGATGAGAATCATTGATCAGCTGCCTCCTGCATGCCCCCTACTGGGGATCTAGCCTGAAACCCAGGTATTTACCTGACTGGGAATCGAACTATGACCTCCTGGTTCATCAGTCAAGCTCAACCACTGAGCCACACTGGCAGGGCCCTATCTTTTTATTTTTAAGGATTAAGTTGATAAATACTAAGCATCCTATCTAATAATAGACAAACATGGTAATTGACCATACCTTCACTATGCCTCCCCTTGGCTAATCAGCACGATATGCAAATTAACTGCCAACAAAGATGGCGGCTAGTTTGCATACTGCAGGCAGAGTGGGACAGCACGAGCTGCCAGCACACTGCTATCCAGTGCAGCCCCGCCCCAGGAACCCCAGGAGCTGGGCCCACCTTGCTGCCCAGGACCCGATCGATCGGTGGGTCCTGGGCAGCAAGGCAGCCCCGCCCCAGAAGCCCCAGGAGCTGCCTGATATGATAGTAACTCTATCAGTAAGCACTCTGAAAGTCAGTGGCATAAATGCACCAATTAAAAGACAGATTATGAGGGTGAATCAAAAACAAAACCCACTTTAAATATAAAGATACATATAGATTAAAAGTAAATGAAGTAAGCTGCAGCCTGTTTTTCTATGGATAGAGCATTAGCCTGTGGACTGAAGGGTCCCAGGTTTGATTCCAGTCAAGGACACGTACCTCAGTTGTTGGCTTGATCCCCAGTCCCTCTCAAAGCATGTGCAGGAGGCAACCAATCAATGTGTCTCTCCCTTTCCCTTCACTCTCTCTAAAATTCAATGGAAAAATATCCTTGGGTGAAGATTAACAAAAACAAAGTAAATGGATTAAGTAACATTAAAGAGATTATAAGAAAACTATATTCCAAATTTTGTTAGTTGCATAATGGTAATGTTTAAATTATTAACATCTAAGGAATTGGGTGAAGGGTACATATAATATGCTGTAGTATTTTATAGTTTTTTTACATGTATGAGATTATTTCAAATTAAAATATTAAAAATTAAAGATTAATAAAATATTAATTGAAGTATGTATGCATTACATGAAAAATCTCCTAATTGCTTCTAGCATAATTCATTAAATTTTGCTAAAATTTACAAGGGTTCAATTAAAAAATATCTTAATTCTAAATGATATAATAGAAAATATATAATAGTGCAGTTATAAGAACTTATCTGAAAATAAAAAAGGGAATTTAAAGAAGAGATTAGCCAACATAAAGTTATAACTGAAAGTTGAACTTGAGCCACAACTTGGCTGGAGTATTATGATCAGACTGTGAGTATTGCAGAGTTGCCGAGGGCTCCCTAGCTGCCAGAAGGATGTCTGACTGCAAGCTTAGGCCTGATCCCCCGGGGAGTGGGCCTAAGTCGACAGGTGGACATCCCCCAAGGGGTCCTGGATTGTGAATGGGCGCAGGCTGGGCTGAGGGGACCCCCCCTCGAGTGCACAAATTTTTGTGCACCGGGCCTCTAGTTGAGTATAATAAAGATACATAAGGACAAAGGGATCATTTTTCTTCTGTCTGAATGATGTACCTTTCGTATCTCAAAAGATTAATTACTGAATGACTAAGAAGCATTAGACTTAGCATTATAAAGGATATATCAGAAACATAAACACAACTCCTATTATCTACTACTTGAGAATACTCATTTTGCTTTGCTTAGAGTTGGTCTCTGAATCACTTAGGAACAGGTTCAGCTGTAACAGCTCTGACAACAGAGGCATCATCACATAAGGGTTTATTCTGTCACCTAAAGGAAAGTCAGAACTGGAATGGTAGTGCCACAAAGCCAACAGAGCCCAGGTTCCTTAACTCTGCTCTGCAGCATGTGGCTTACATCCTCAAAGTCACCTCATGGCCCACAGCAGCTGCTGGAGCTCTAATCATTACTAAAACAGCAGGAAGGAAGGACAAGAAGGAAAAATATATTCCCTTCCCTTTAGTGGTCTTCCTGGGCTTTCTACACACATTTCTACTTACACCTCATTGATCAGAACCCACATCGCTATACTGAACCACACGGGAGATAGGGCATTTTCAACTGAGTTTACTGCCTTCCTGAAAAAAATTGGGGTTTTATTACTCAGGAGGAAAGAGGAAATGGACATTGAGATAGGTAATTAGCAAATTGCCAGAATTTCCAGTATATAGTTGTTAAATTAATGTTTTTACTGTATAGTCATACTGATTTTGGAATTACCCTTTTGATAATATAAAATATTGAACCTTTCAGAACTTTAGGGGAAGGAAAGTGTCTTAATTGGCAAAATCAGTGGTCTTCACAAGTCTAGACAAGGACCCTAGGATGTTTTTTACTCTCTATACACAGAATTCTAAAATATCCCATCTCAAATTGGCATCATACTTAAATCTCACAAAGTAATGGAAATTGGAGAGGAACTTTTAAGTTCTGAAATCGACTAAAGAAAAAAGAAATCTCTCACCTCTTTCTGTTTTTAGGAAATCAACGATCTGTTGGTTAAGGAAAAGGTTATGCAACTTACCCAGCAGAGGTCACAAATCCAAAATCTTCAGAAGAAGGTGGTAAGCTTGGAGACTGCCCTGAGTTGTCTGACTAGAGAGTTTGAGACTGAAGTTCTAAAACAGAAGCAGCAGGCAATGGTAAATAACCAAAGTGATCAGGTTGAAATTTACAAACTGAAGAACCTGCTTCAGAAGAAGAACAGGGAAATGAATAGAGTGAAGAAACTGGCCAAGAACATACTAGATGAGAGAACAGAAGTGGAAAGGTTCTTTTTGGATGCTCTACACCAAGTGAAGCAAGAGATTGCATTTAACAGGTTGCATTATAAGCAGATGGCACAAGCTGCTTTCAATTTAAAAATGCGAGAGGCATTCGCAGGAAGAACGGAATATCCCAAAATTCGAACATTTGATGGCAGAGAGCACAGCACCAACAGTGTGGATCAGGATCTTAAAGAGGCTAGTAAATGGTACTAATAATACTTTAATATTTTATCTTTTGTGCTGCTATTTTTGTGCCTTTAGAGAAATAAGAACCATGAAAAATTCAGTTTGGTAATATCTAAATATTGATTACTTAGTGAGGTACTTGAGGATAGGAACTAACTCATCTTTGTAACCCCTATGCTTGGCATAGTTTGTGGGGCCTAATAAATATTGTTAGTGGTGCCCTCTTTTCTTCATAAGAGAAACTTTTAAAGAGACTAGATTACTTTTCCCATAGGATGTCACTGCAGTATCTTTTAACATGCTCTTTTATTTCGTTTCCTATAAACTAGTTACAAAGGTTTAATTAGATTCAGGTTAAACATTTTTTATAAACATACTTTCATAAATATTTTATAATTAGAGGCCCAGTGCACGGATTCGTGCACCAGTGAGGTCTCTCAGCCTGGTCTGCGACCTCTCGCAATCTGGGACCCCTCGAGAGATGTCGGACTGCTGGTTTCGCAGGCTGGCCTGCGGGGATCAAGCCGAAACTGGCAATCCAACATCCCCCTAGGGATGTAGTAGTGCACAAAGTGGAGCCATGCTTCTCCCGCTCATCCTGGCCCACTGCGCCTGCCCCAGCTGCTGCTCGGTAGCGCGTTGCTGTGGAGGTAGGAGAGGCTTGCTCCACACAGGTGCACTTACCAGCATTGAGCCCAGTGTCTGGCACCCCTCAGTCAACTGAGTGGCACTCCTGCTGTGGGAATGCACTGAACACCAGGGGGCAGCTGCTCGAGCGTCTGCCCTCTGGTGGTCAGTGCGTGTCATAGCAAACGGTCAAACGGTCATTAGGTCGCTTGGTCATTCAGTTGCTTAGGCTTTTATATATATAGATTATATATATAGATATTTCCTTTACTATTCTGAGATGAAATTTATAGGTAATAATACCTAACTAAACATATTATTTAAAAAATCAATATACCAGTAACAATTCATTGTAACAATTCTTTTTTTTCTTTTTTTCCTTTAAATTTAATTTTATTGCTTAAAGTATTACAGATAATAGTACATATGTCTCTTCTCCCTCCCCCCATTGACCTTCCCCAGCCTCCCCTACCCCCCGGCACATGCCCTCACCGCACCCCCCCAGTGTCTTGTGTTCATTGGTTATGCTTATATGCATGCATACAAGTCCTTTGGTTGATCTCTTACTTCCAACCCCTCCCCAACACTCCCAGCCTTCCCACTGTAATTTGACAGTCTGTTCAATTCTTCTCCATTGATTTTTATTTTATTTTTTTAATTAAATCTTTATTATTCAGATTATTACAGTTGTTCCTCTTTTTCCCCCCATAGCTCCCCTCCACCCGGTTCCTACCCCACCCTCTGCCCTTATCTCCCCCCCCCCCCCC